ACAGACCGCTTTAAAATTTTACACCAGCCTTGATTTCTGGTACATACAATTTCTTTTGGTTTACACACTGTATGCAGACTATGCAGTTATTTTATGCAAGTCAATTTTGACTTAGAAAGCATCATTACATTTTTAACAGTCGATTTTTCTCAGAATAATTATTCATTGTTTTACCGCCATTATCTTGTTTTCATAATAGCCGCGCACTAAATATATTTCTTGTTACCCGCCTTAAATCGACTTCATTTGACCCTTTTTAATAAAACAACAACAACAACAACAACAACAACAACAACAACAACAACAACAACAACGAAAAAAAAAATACAGGGCGAATGGATGGGGGGGGAGGAATCACCAGAGAAACAGAAATAAGGAAATTAAAGTTTCAACAAACTGCAGATCTGTTAGAAATTTAATGTGTCATTAATAAACTCAACAAATGTAATGAACAGTTCAGTATGCAGGCTTGTATGCAGTAAGATAGTTTAGTGTCTTTATAGTCATAAAAAAACCTGAACTGCAATAATTACAGAAACACACACACACACACCTTAAAATCAAATATTTAAGGACTGAGATGAGGGATAAGAGACGAAACAAAGTTCTTCCCTTTTGTGCTCTTTGTCTTGCAAACAAAACACACCAATTTTACCCACATGCATATTAAAAATAACAATTATATATTATAGTTAAAATATAAACTGCTGTAATTCACCCACGCATACATATTCCTGTATTTTAACACATCCACAAAAAACACTGCGCTCTCTTATCTTCCTGCTCGCTCTCTTTCCTCCCCTCACACACCCTTGTGCTCGTCCACTAACTAGGGATAAACCCTGCCCCTGCCCCCCTTTGACCCCATCAGAGGAGGGGGGGAGAGAGAGGGGCCCCTCAGGCCCACAAAAGCCTGAATGGCTCAGGGCAGCACGCATTCACTGGGGGAACAAGAGATCTTTGTGCCAGGAGGGGAGGGGTGGAGGGGTGGAGGGAGGGAGAGGGAGAGAGATAGCACACTACATGGGCCTACATACTATTTATAACACTTTGTAATATGCACCAGAAAAATTGATACCCAAAGCAGGGCTGCTGAGACTCAGGGGGCATGAGCTCCTGCAAGATTTTTTAGCAGCTGGATTAGAGGCCAAACCAACAATTCATCAGAGTTTAGCTAATGCCATTGATGAAATGGGTTACACACAAAGGGATGGTGCAAAAACAGTGCAGGAAACAGGAGGAGGGGGG